TATTTCATTTTTATTTTTGGGGAGGCAGTTGTTAAATTCAGGGTCTTGATGGAAAATCTTCCTGGACATAAGTTTTTATCTTTCCTTTACAATAAAATTTGAATAAAACTATACAAAAAAAAGTCTGCTCAGCTTTCAAAGAGGCAGCTTTATCCCTGCAAAGCTGGAGCATATGTATGTCACTTAAGTATAACAAGAAATTATCACTTTCATTTCTGACTGTTGTAGTGACTATGGGAAGACTTTCATATACCTGATCCTTTATGCATGATGGATTAGAGTTATATCCATATAACTAACTTGGGTTGAGAAGATTGCATTGAGTGCTGGGAATAAAATTAACCCAACATACAAGTTGTTCAATAAGTCTAAATCCAATAAAGATCTATTTCATGGGAATGAAAGATAAGTAAGGCATATTTTCTGCATCAAAAAATGAAATCTAGAAGTTTTAAAAAGATCTTTTATTTTTTGCATATCTTATATATTAAGGAGCCCTAGCTGGTTTTTCTCAGTGGTTAGAGCATTAGCCCTCTGACTGAAGGGTCCTGTGTTCGATTCAAGGCCAAGGGTGTGTATCTCAGTTGCAGGCTTGATCCCCAGCGCCAGATCCCCGGCGCCAGTCAGGGGTGCATGTGGGAGGTAACCAATCAATGTGTCTCTCACATCAATGTTTCTCTGGTTCTCTCCTTCCCTTCTACTCTCTCTAAAAAGGACTTGTATGCATGCATATAAGCCTAACCAATGGACACAGACACCAGGGGGTTGAGGGAAAGAGTGGGAGGGGGGTGGAGGGGCAATGGGGGGGGGATAAAGACACATATGTAATACCTTAATCAATAAAGATAAATAAATAAATAAATAAATAAATAAATAAATAAATAAATAAATAAAATAAATAAATAAATAAAATCAATGGAAAAATCCTCAGGTGAGGATTAACAACAATAACAACAAAAGTCATATTAAAGAATGAAGGTTGAAACTGGCCTTTAACTCTTAAAAATTATCCTGTAGCTTGTGTTCATCCCGTCCATGAATCTATACTATTTTGAATGCCATATTATAATTACAGCCACACAGGCTGTAGCGGAGTCCTTGTGTCTTTGTGGAGCAGAGTCTGTTTTCTTCAGTGGCCTATTACCTCCACCTGGGAATCATTAACTTGAGCACCTTGACTTTCTTTGCAACAGACATGAAGTAACTTAATCACAAATCCTGGTGCTTGAGAGAAAGTGAGCTTATTTAGTCAGAGAGTCTCTATTTTGTAACTCTTAAGGGAGTAGAGATTATCTAGGATTTAATTTTTGAAAGTGCCCTTAAACTAGAGCTGCCAGGGTTCCTCACTTGTCTGATAAATTCTAGCAGTGGGGACATATCCAGGATAGTCTACAGGGAAAGTAAGTTTTGCATGACAGCTTAGTGAAAATCACCTCTTCTTTTTTTACTGAGCTATATTGTTTAGTGTTTTCCAACAGAGAAGTTGAACAGAGTTATGCAAATAGTTTGTTTTCTTTATTAAAATATCCAGGAATTTATATCAATTGCAGGAACCAAGAAATGTACTTAAGTCTAGTAGTAACCTGTGTAAGTAAACCCTCTGAAAACTGATTAGGAGGTTCCATCAATAAGAAATGCTCAGATATAAAAGCCCTTAAAAGAACAGGTTTGGGGAGGAGGTGGTTTTCATCCAAATTGTCTGTAGGTTTTTGTTGTTACTTTTTAAATTCTGTTTGTTTGATTTTTAAGTGCACTCACTCATATCCCCACCTGAGAGTGATGTACCCTCAAAACAACCATTTCTTTGGAATCTCTTTCCATTAAGTTTCTTCCCCCATAAGGTCCTCCCAAAATGTGATGCCTTTGCTGTTAATCCTCCTAGATAATCCCCTCCTGCCTCCTCTCTGAGGATCCCCCTGCTGAAAACAATTGAGTGCAACTTCTGTTACTTGAAAGAACAAGTATCTTTTCCAGTAGACCCGCTCATCTATCAATATGCTCAATAATGAGGAATAGGGTTTGAAGCCATCGTGTCAGCTTGGGTTGCTGTGTTCAAAATGAAAAAACTGAGAAGTATAGGTAAAAAGAAAAGTGAAGTCATTTCTAAAGGGAAAGAATTCTAATATTGCCAAATCAGGTGTTGTTAAAAAAGAAATGAATGAAGAAAATGTGTAATTTTAAGGAAAAATAAAATGATTAGTGGTGGAAGAGAAAAACAATATAGTTTAAAAGTTAGTATGATCCATCACCAAAGAAGTACATTAGTAAGGAACTTGCTATGGTATACTTTAAAGGATTTCTCTGTTTTTTCCAGAACTACATAATTGAGAAACAGTTCCATCTAGCATTACCGCATCTCATAATACTCAATAATATTTTATTATCTGTTGTATAAATATTAACCATCTCAGATTCAGAGAGACTTACATATTGAATCCTCAAATACCTATTTCTCAGATTCAATCTTCATCGTAATCAATTTGGTAGCTTGCTTTATTTTACCAATTCCAGACATCACTTTTAAACACTTCATTAAAATTTTTTTATTACATAAAGCCAATAGTTTTTAAAAATATATATAATGTGGTACATCAACACTTGGAAATAAGATCAAAATAAGTGTAATGTCCACATATGAGACAGGAGTAGTTTTACAAAAGTCTGCCCTTATAAAGCCACATGTGGCCGCTACATTCTCGTATCGCAGTCTCTTAATGCTGAATTAAAGTA